TTGACAGTGACCATGACAATGACTATAACAATGACAATGACCATAACAATGACAATGACCATGACGTTGACAGTGACCATGACAATGACTATAACAATGACAATGACCATAACAATGACAATGACCATGACGTTGACAGTGACCATGACAATGACTATAACAATGACAATGACCATAACAATGACAATCACCATGACGTTGACAGTAACCATGACAATGACCATAACAATGACAATGACATTGGCAGTGACCATGACAATGACCATAACAATGACCATAACAATGACAATGACCATGACAATGACCATAACAATGACAATGACATTGGCAGTGACCATGACAATGACCATAACAATGACCATAACAATGACAATGACCATGACAATGACCATAACAATGACAATGACATTGGCAGTGACCATGACAATGACCATAACAATGACCATAACAATGACAATGACAATGACATTGACAGTGACCATGACAATGACCATAACAAAAACAATAATATCAATATMAATATCAGCAAACTTGAAAATATTTTTGAGTTCCTTGTGCTGTTTGTATTGTCAATATGCTTCGTTACTCTAAGGTTGGCATCTGTCGACAGGTTGTTTGGTGCTCCTGTTGTCTGGATTGTGTTGGTAGTCAATGGCTGTCTTTTGATAGTTTTAGTGTGTTGCATCATTTATCAAGTGTTAGGTTTTAATCCTAGATGGTGTTTTAGAAGATTGAACGCATGGTTTGATTATCGCGTTGGAGTACGAGCTTGGCTCGTGCAGCTGCGGAACCCAGTTGAAGGGTATGAATGGTTAGAGTGAAACCTAGTTCTGTGTAATAGTAATTATTTGTTCAATTTATGAAAAACTGAAACGATTTTTTTGGATAGCACTAATTGTTCTCTGTGYTTTWGCGAGGAATTGGATTGTGGTGCTACTGCTGGACATATTGTTTGCCCAAAAACACTGTTTGGTTATTCGAAATGATAAATTGTGATTAGTTCAGATATCTAGTCATATTATACACAAAACCCATCTAGCCGTGTTCATGAGACAACTTCTATATATTTTTTACTATGCGTTTTTAAACGCAATCAATTAAAATTAAAATTAAAGTTGATAAATAAAATTAAAATTAAAATTGATAAATAATAGGGATCACGATGTAGATTAAAATGCACGTAAATGAACTTTGCACGTCAACAAAAAAAGTATTCATTCTTTGATGGATAGAGGTCTTCTGTCCACATGAAAAATAAGATGAAAATAAAACAGTTATACCTGAAAGCGCATGATTTTTTAGGGTATTAAATCAAGAAAATTGMTTACGTGTCAAGAGTATTCTTCTAAAAGGGATACCCCAGTAAAAGTATACATTTTCTAAAAGCTGATTAATGCCGGAGATTGTACCTATGTAACTTGTTCTTTTTTTATTTTTTATTTTTTGTTTTGTTTTGTTTGTTTTTTTCATTGTTTTTTTCAAATGCGTATTCTATTATTTTTGACCACTCATTTTTAGAAAGGGGCATCGCGGGATTTCATTGTGCTAATAAACTGTTACTGCCTTCGTTTAGAGCACAATTTATGATCTCTAAAAAAGGTGTCTCATTTTTTTACCATGTCCAGGCGGGTTATAAAATGCAGTGACTTTATTTATTTATTTATTTATTTTTTCCACGTCGCAGTTTAGCAAGCCAAGGGATCGATGATCTAGAGTTCCAAGTCTCGATCCTCGACTCGAGCACGTCTGAAAAATTCCTTCTTTTCTTCTTCCATTCTTTATTTAACTGAAATATAGATGTTCCAGTCATGAAAGATTTTTTCGTGACAGCTGTGTAAAAAGATAAATTTAACACCGTAAAAAAATATTTTTTCGTGGCAATTTGGTTTATTAATATTTACAAGCCGCGTTTGTTAAATTTTAGAAACAAGATGGTACTCGAATAGCGGCGTCGAACAGAGGATCACGGGTTGGAATCTCATCTCGAGCACTTTCTGTCTTTCTTCTTAAATATAGTATAGTTGTTATATTCATTATCTTATGTAGATATCGTTTAACAATTATTTTC